CATGCCAGACTACTGCAACCCTACAAAGCCCACCAAGGCTCAGACTCCTCAGGAGCGAAACTGCGCCCCCCAGTAGGTAAGGCAAAAGGATCGTGGAATTGACAGAGAAGTCATAAATACCAGGACCACTTCATGGCTATGTGCGAACACGAGGACTTACCTTCTACCTGTATTGCCTGGCTGGTTGTCTTTTTAAAAAACTCTCACCTCTCCTTTAGTATTGTAAATAGGATAGAGTGGTGGTCGTGGTGAATTCACCATTTAGGTCATGGAATTGTAGAATAACAATATTAAGTTGGGATAATGGTGGCGCTAGAGAAAGAAGAGACATCACAGGGAGAACTTGAACTATAATCAGAGGCCCCATGACCTCATCTCTGACTGTGATAGCTGAAAGTGTTTGTATGTGTTGTTTCTCTCTGGGTAGTTCTTGGTGGTACGTGGAGTAATGAAATTATGCCAGGAGGGAGCATGTTTGGAATCATATGAGTGGAGGAAGGGTGTTTGTACATGCTGTCTGTATTACTTTTCTGTCTACCTAACATCCCCTCCTTTGGGGAACTGCTGAAAATCAGAGATTCGCTTCTCCAGACCACAGGAGTGCTTGCTGTAGAAATCCAAGTGACGGAAGGACAGCAGTACCCAGCAAAGGCCCCCCCAAATTGGGTATCCTTGCTTTTTCCAGAGCCTCCACTTTTTAAGACTTTGGTTACCTTGCCCAGAATCACTCAGATTCTTTGGTTCAACAAAATTTAGCTTATGAAATTGACCTCTAGCTTCCCAAGCATTTTTCGGGAAGGATTTGAAGCAAAGCTCTTAGATTTGCAGTAAAACTACCCAAGGTGGGGACTTGAGGTAAGTCATGGAAGACAGAATGTTTCTAACCACTCCCACCCCTATACCGGGGCCCAGGATTCTAGAGATAGTCTCTCTGAGTTGCTGGAGAAGGGAGTCATCACCAGTAGTCATTCAGGTGACCAGAACCAGTCTGAGGGCAGTCACGGAACTGCGTCCCAGGAAGGGGGTCAAGGGTCACAACAGAAAGCACAGGCTGTAGTCCAGCCTGAGGAAAGTTCAGGACCTGGAACCTGAATCTGTGCCTGTGAAGTTGGAAGTTTCGACCTATCTGGAGAGGACCTGGGGGAAAGGAAGAGGGAAATGATGGAGTCAAGGTAGAAAAGGAATTGTTTTCACCAATCAGAATGGCCATCATAAAAATGTCTACAAGTAACAAGTGCCGGAGAGGTTGTGGAGAAAAGGGAACCCTCCTACACCGTTGGTGGGAATGTAAATTGATACAGCCACTACAGAGAACAGTATGGAGGTTCCTTAAAAAACTAAAAGTAGAGTTACCATATGATCCCTCAATCCCACTCTTGGGCATATATCCAGAGAAAGCCATAATTCAAAAAAGTACATGCACCCCAATGTTCATAGCAGCACTATGTACAAAAGCCAAGATATGGAAGCAACCTAAGTGTCTACTAACAGATGAATAGATAAAGATGTGGTGTATATAGACAATGGAATACTACTCAGCCATAAAAAATGAAATAATGCCATTTGCAGCAACATGGATGGACCTAGAAATTATCATACTAAGTGAAGTAAGTCAGACAGAGAAAGACAGAGAAAGCCAGGGAATTCCCTATATGTGTATATGTATAACTGAATCCCTTGGCTGTACACCTGAAACATTGTAAATCAACTCTACTTCAATTTAAAAAAAGAAAGAGGGGCCTTCCCTGGTGGCGCAGTGGTTAAGAATCTGCCTGCCGATGCAGGGGACACGGGTTCGAGCCCTGGTCCGGGAAGATCCCACAAGCCGCGGAGCAACTAAGCCTGTGAGCCACAACTACTGAGCCCACGTGCCACAACTACTGAAGCCTGTGTGCCTCGAGCCCGTTGCTCCTCAACAAGAGAAGCCCGCGCAATGAGAAGCCCACGCACTGCAACGAAGAGTAGCCCCCGCTCACCGCAACTAGAGAAAAGCCCATGCACAGCAACGAAGACCCAGGGCAGCCAAAAATAAATAAATTTTAAAAAATAAAGAAAGAAAGAGGAACTTCCCTGGTAGTCCAGTGGTTAAGACTCCACACTTCCACTGCAGGGGCCATGGGTACGTTCCCTGGTCGGGGAACTAAGATCCCGCATGCCTCGAGGTGCAGCAAAAAAAGCCAAAAACCAAAAACCAAGAAACTAATTTCTTTGGGTAGAATTCAAATCCTGAGTGACTATGAGTTCCATCTGATCCTCCATTCGTGTGCAGTGGTACACGTACTTGTACTTGGGAGTGCTAACCCGAGGGTGCAGGAATGGAGTGCCTAGCCCTGTGTTCCCAAAGCTCCAGCATCCATGCCACCCACTTGGATAGTGACTTTTACACTAAAGTTTTAAAAAGGAGGCCTCACAATTCAAATAATAAAAATACAATTAACAATTAACCATAACAGGGGTGATCCTTTGGTAACGTATATTATTACCAAATATTGAATCACTATGTTGTACACCTGAAACTAATAAAACGTTGTGAGTCAATTATGCTTCAATTTAAAAATGCAAAGAAAAGGCTTCCCTGGTGGCGCAGTGGTTGAGAGTCCACCTGCCAATGCAGGGGACACGGGTTTGTGCCCCGGTCCGGGAGGATCCCACATGCCGCGGAGCGGCTGGGCCCGTGAGCCATGGCCGCTGAGCCTGCGCGTCCGGAGCCTGTGCTCAGCAACGGGAGAGGCCACAACAGTGAGAGGCCCGCGTACCGCAAAAAAAAAAAAAAAAAGCAAAGAAAAAAACTAATCATAGCAATGAATGTCTCACATTAGTAGGAAGAATAATATTGTTGGCAGTATTTCATCGCTCTGCCACTATCCTTCTCCATGTTTGTCTCCTCTCCTGAACATTGGGGGTAATGACAGTCACTCATCTCTGAGTTGTTGTGAGGATTAAATGCAACGATGTATATAAAGTGCTTAGGACCTTGCATGGCTTATGGTAAGTGTGCAATAGTGTTTGCAAGTATTATTATTTCTCTATAACTAGGTGGAGTATATAAATGTATATTATATAATATATATATATATATATATATATATATATTTCTCTCTGGCTCAATCACTTGAGTCATTGGTGAGGTGACTTAACATCTAGTACACATGGATAAAATATAATTCCTTATTTTTAATAGCTACACAGTATCCCATTACATAGATGGACTATTTCTATTTAGCCAAGCTCCCGTTGTATATTTAGCTTATTTCCCCTGTTTTACCATTATGATCAATATTAAAATGTAAGAACCTTGTCTAAACATCATGGGGTACTTGTGCAATTTTTCAGTTTTTAAATTTTTCAGTTTTGAAAAATTAAATCACACTTTTTGTTTTTACTTTAACTATGACATTGCAGACGTTAGCTCGTGAAAAGTTACATAGAGTAAGGAAGCTCTGGGCTACCTGAAGATTACTGGCCATTTCATGAGGCATTTCCTTATGGTCTTATGGCTTGCTTGGAAAGCAAGGAAATCATATTTCATGCGATCATTCAGGAACATTTTAGGATATGCATCCACTATTGCAAAGATAGGAGGGCAGAATCTACCTGGACTCACGTACCACTCCCCAACTCCCCTTCCCCCAGATTTCCTTCTAATTGCAGTAAATTCATTTTTAATAAGTTTTAACTTTTAATCAAAGTAATACATGCATATAAAGGATTTAGAAAAATCAACCAGTACAAAAGGACATATAATGAAAAGCAGTAAATCCCCACCCACCCTTCTCAACTTTTGCTTTCCCAACCCAGAGGCAAAAACTTTTTCATGTCTGTTTAGAGGCTAACTCCATTTTTCCTAATAATATGCTTTTCTTACTATTTCTTAACTTGATGACATGAGGCATTTTCTGCTGACTTCCTGCTGTCCCCTTGGTTTTCCTCCCCCCCTCCATATATCACTATTTTTAATTCTTCTGTTGGTTACCTTGTTCACTTTAAAAATCTAACCCCTAAATCTGTCTTACTCTTTCAACTAGAGACAGTATCTGGACTTCCCAGTTTAGGAGAATAGCACCACTGTTCCACTTCCTCCTCTCTGCCTGCCAACTTGTTGCCTGTACTTGTCAAAGTTGGTTAACATTCCCACTCTGTTCTATAACTATAATTAAGTCTCCCCTGCTTTGCCTAGTGATTTACTCTAAAAATGAGAAAGCATAACTAATATTTCCATTGTAATGATTATTTAAACACTGTTCACTGAATAGCAAAGTTGAACCCTATGATTGGATTTTCTGTGACTGCAGAGGCTTGATCCACGTGCCAGTGTTCAGATTCCCTTTCTCACACTCCAGGCAACGGTTGAAAAACAGGCCACGTCTGAGGTTGCTTCATATGTGAAGCATGCTCTCCTTGTACAGTTTGAAATGTTTGTTTTTCCCAGTAGGTTCTGTTTGCCGTTGTTGTTTCTTTTAAGATGAAGAAATGTATGCCTTCCCGATCATGCGATAAATTTCTGTTGCCTAGAATCGATTCCATTCAGTTGGAAGTCTATTCGTTTCCTTTTCTAATTTGGAGGATTTGCCTCCTATTTGGACCACTCTTGTACAGTTTATCTTTTTTCAAGTTGTTAGTAACTTTTCCTTTTTTCCCCCTTAGGGCATCCTGTGCTTATTGTCATTTCCCTACCTTCGGTGCTGTCTTCTGTTTTGTGGATGCAAGAACTTCTCAAATATTTCTGAGGATTTTCAGATTTTTAGGTTCTGTTCTTTGAATTAGCTATTTCCTTGAGATTCAACTTTTCATTATATCTTAGGCTTTTTTGGTTACATTGCAGGCTTTCCGCAAATGACTTCTAGCCGCGCATTTATATGAAAAGATGAGGCAATGGCAAGACAGGCCGGCAAGTCTGTGTGCGCGAGGCGAGCTGGTCGCTTTGCTCTAGGGCGGCTGAACTGGTGGGTGGAGGTCAGCCATCCTGCTGGGCACCCCCCAATGCCACAGAGTTAGTTGCTCTAAATATGTACCTGCAGGCGCACGTTGAGAATCACTGAAGCCACGACGTAGAAGTAGGGGAAGTTCACGCGCAGCCGCCAGGCCAGGTCGAAGAAGGTGATCAGCGTGCGCGTGAGCCCCTTGCAGAAGGCGCCGTACGAGCCGCGGGCCGCAGCCGAGCGAGACAGCCGCACCGCCAGGCCCGACAGGGCCGCCGCCGCCGCCGCCGCCGCCATCGGTCTGGTTTGGCCTCCCGCCGGCTCCGCGGACTGAGGGACGCACGCGGGGGGATCGGCGAGGGAGGTGGATCGCGCGGCCGCAGATGCGAGCTGCGCTGCACGGAGGGCAGTGGTCTTTTTTTTTTTTTTTTAATTTTTTAATTTTAACGGGAGCAAAACGAAACTTGCTCAAAACGTTAGAAATGTTCCTTCATAAGCACGATCTTGAGCAGCTTCGAAGCGTGAACGCGTTTCCTGTTCCCTCAAATCCCTTTAGGAATTTTTTCAATCCTCAATTGTGAGCTAGTACAAATACACCAAACCCACTAATTTAACTTTAAGATGTGTGCATTCTGTCTTACTCCTTCAAGCGTCTTATTTTTGCTTTTGCTTTACATCTGTAGTATTCTGCTAATGGGAAAAGTTATACAAACAAGTTTTTAGAGATTGTCAGCAGCACAATGAGAACAATGGAAAGCAAATTCCCTGCTTAGCTTCCCAATTCCCCACCCCTCCCCCGCCTTGAACTGAGGTTACGTTTCCTGTATGTACTTCCAGATGTGATGTGTTGATACAGTGCTCTTACCATGTCAATAATGTACAACTATCTCACTCCCTTTGACGACGGATTATTACACCAATACATATGTTGACTAATAATGTTCAATAATTCATTTAACAAATCCCCTGTTGATGGACGCTCTGAATGTTTCCAGTTTTTCTTATGCCAAAAATTGTTGCAGTGAGCATCACTGTACACATGGATTTGCAAGTGGCAGAAGAGCATAAATAACATGATCCCATCTTCATTTATAAAAAACAATCACATAAGCATATACATTTAGTGTTTGAGGTCAAAAAGTTTTACTAATACATGTGGTTAATCAAAGAAGTTTAGAGATGAGGGCTCTATTCAACACTGAGTGTTAATCTTGGAATTTTTTTTCCTCAACATCATAGACAATAATTACATCTCATTATTCTTCTAATTTGCTTTTATTTATCAGAGAAGCTGAGCAACTTTTCTAAATTTCTTAATTTTTATTATTGTTTTACTCATTGCTTATAAAACATTAAAACTTAAGTATGTATTATGAGAAAAGTAAAGTTCCTAGGATCATAACCCCCCGAAAAAAAGACTATTAACAGCTTGGTATATGTTTTAATCAATTATCTACATATTTAATAAGGCATATATACATATTTCACACACAAATCGTAAAACAAAAATGAAACCGTACTAACACACTGTCCTGACAGTTGTTTTTAAAAATAATGATATATCTTGCTTATCTTTCCATATTGATTCCTTTATTTATTTGGTTGGGCCGGCGGGCTCCTTAGTTGTGGCATGCGAACTGTTAGTTGCAGCATGCATGTGGGATCTAGTTCCCTGACCAGGGATCGAACCTGGGCTCCCTGCATTGTCTTAACCACTGCACCACCAAGGAAGTCCCTCCGTATTGATTGCTTATGATCAATAATACGGTGTATTATTCGTTATGGTTGGCCAGTACTTAACTGAAGGATATTTGGATGGTTTCAAATTTTTCACGATCATAAACAGTGTTGAGATTAACATCCTTGCATGCATATCTTTGTACATGTCTCTGATATTTCCCTGGGATACATTCCTAAAGGTGGAATTCTTGTATCAAAAGGTTTTCACCTGTTTAATGATTTTGATACATACTGTCAAACTGTCTTTCACACAGCTTGTACTAAGGTATCCATGAACATCCTCAACTTTTGTAATAATGAGCATCGACGTTCTTTTAAATCTTGGACATTCTAATAGGGTGAAAATGCTATCTCATTTTAATTCGCATATTTTGTTTACTAGCGAGGTTAGACATTATTCATGTGTGCAGCTTTCATTGCACATTTGTATATAAGGAACTAGTCTTTCAAACGATTTGCAGTCTTGGGTTTCCCTGGTGGCACAGTGGTTGAGAATCTGCCTGCCAATGCAGGGGACACGGGTTCGAGCCCTGGTCTGGGAAGATCCCACATGCCGCAGAGCAACTAGGCCCGTGAGCCACAACTACTGAGCCTGCGTGTCTGGAGCCTGTGCTCCGCAACAAGAGAGGCCGCGATAGTGAGAGGCCTGCGCACCGCGATGAAGAGTGGCCCCCGCTCGCCGCAACTAGAGAAAGCCCTACGCACAGAAATGAAGACTCAACACAGCCAAAAATAAATTAATTAATTAATTAATTTAAAAAAAAGATTTGCAGTCTTATAGAAAACAAATTTATGGTTTCCAGAGGGGAAAGGAGGGGGAGGGATAAATTAGGAGTTTGGGATTAACAGATACACATTACTGTATATAAAAGAGACAAACAAAAAAGACCTGTGTAGCACAGGGAACTATATTCAGTATCTTGTAATAACCTACAATGGAAAAGAATCTGAAAAACTATATATATATATATATATATATATATATATGTATATCTGATCACTTTGCTGTACACCTGAGACTAACACAATATTCTAAATCAACTATACTTCAATTGAATATATATATATATATATATATATATGTATATGTAAACATTTGGACAAGCTAAAAAAAGATTTGAAGTCTTAATTTTAATCAGTATTTCCAATTTCCGTGTAAAAAATGCTGTACCAATTTCCACTCCCTCAGGCAGTGTATGAGGCTGTCCATTTCTCCACACCCTCACCCATATTATTATGATGTATTATTTTATTATCTCTAATCTAAAAGCAAAGCAAATAATTATTCTAATTATTTTAATTTGCTTATATTTGATTACAGTTGAGTCTGAATATTATGTTCATTGGTCATTTATAGTGGCATCAAAAGGAAGGAGGGCGCCGCAGACTGGATGACTGACTGGAAGGCAGAGGGAGGGCTTTCAACTAATATGCAGACTAAAGGGTCCTAGAGATCCCGGGGCAGTGGCAACAGCGGGGAAGAGGCAAGTTAAGCAACTTTCCCCTCTCTTCCCCTCTGTCTCCTTGCCCTTCAGGCTGCCCAGGCTCTGGTCCCTTTGATCATTTTTATATTAAAATTTTTGCAGGGCTTCCTTGGTGGTGCAGTGGTTGAGAATCTGCCTGCCGATGCAGGGAACACGGGTTCGAGCCCCGGTCCGGGAAGATCCCACATGCCGCGGAGCGGCTGGGCCCGTGAGCCATGGCCGCTGAGCCTGCGCGTCTGGAGCCTTTGCTCCGCAACGGAGAGGCCACAACAGTGAGAGGCCCGCGTACCGCAAAAAAAAAGAAAAAAAAAATTTTGCCTAAGGCAGGCAGAACAGCACAAGTAGCCAGAAAATGATGAAATCTGAACCCCAGCTTTAGGAGAGACCTAGAGTACACAAAACAGCCTCAGGTAGTGCATTAAACAAAGGAATTAATTCTTCCTTCTCCCTCACACCAGACATCACGAATATAAAATAGTTGTAATAGGCCACAGTTATTGTTTTTGGGAAATTGTACAATCTTTTAGCTCTTCTTTCCCACAGTAGAGCACATATACCTTGATTCTTCTGTCTGAATCACCCACTCTTAGTATGTATGGGAGGAATATAACATTTTTAACTGCAATATTGGTCCAGAGATAATAGATTTAACTTTAATGAGAGGCTTTTGAGTAGAAGACACTGAATGGAACAAAGGTGTTTACCTCTCCAAAACAAAATAAAACAAAACAAAACAAAATAAATAGAAAAAATTATAAAGCAATGCAAGGTAAATTCATTCATAAAATTAGTGGAAGGGGTGAGGGTAGTGGCCCAATGTGTCTGATAAACTCCTGGAGTGAATACAGATTGGCTCAAACTGAAAAAGAAATCTCAGACAAAGGTTGCAGCAGAAGCAGAGCTACTTTGGGGGAAGAAGACGAGGTATGGAGAGTGGACATGGGAGGATGAGGTAAAAGGAAAAGATTAGATTAAAAGTTATTTGAAAAATGGCTGAATAAGTTGGGCTCTACTTCCACCATCTTCCCCTCCTCCATCACCAGTGGAGGATTTTATCTCCTGGATGCAAATGAACAGCGTTTCTCTAAAGAAATTGAGTGATCTGCCTGCAAAGGGCTACGGCTCCAGAATGGGGGGAGGAGGATTGGTGCCTGTGGCAGAGTAAAAATCGCCACAAATGTTTCTCTTCCCCGAATCCATAACTTTGTATTGACATTGCAGATCTGTCAAGAGGTGATCTGTTTCATTTTTCTTGAAGCTACCTTCTAACTTGCTTTGGTCAATGGGACATTGGCAAAAATAGAGCAGACAAAAGCTAGAAAAGTGCTTATGCATTGGGACCTGGCCTCTTGCTACTCTTGTAAACCTGCTGCCACCAGACTGGATGATGAGACACATGACCCAGTTATCCCTGTATCCCCAAATGGTAGCCAACCAACCCCTAGAAATAGTGTCACCAAGACTGCTAGCAGCAGCTGATGACAGACACATGAGAGTCCAGCTGACACAAGCAGAATAGTTCAGCTGAGCCCAGCCCGAGTTGCCAACCCCCAACAATTGTCCATTAAATAAATGGTGGTTGTTTTAAGGCTCTAAGTTTTGAGTGATTTGATCTTTGGTGGTAATTACTTGAATCATGGGGCCCCTAGGACTGAAAGAGAAGCATGACCCATTTAACCAAAAGAATTCTGGCAAACAGAAAGTTGGGTCACCATGATAGAGTGTCACAGCCCCTCAGGTTGTATATCCAGGGTCCCTAGGATGAAGGGGAGACTGGGAGCCTTGAGGAAGGGTGCTATGGTAACACTGGAATTATGTACTGTAAATCTTCCTAGTTACCCCCCAAAGGACCCACAGCAGTTTCCCAAGGTAACTGTGCAGAGGAGAGATAAAAATCCTCACACTCTCCAGGGATTATTAGACAACGGCTCTGAGCTAGCACTCATCCTGGGGATTCAGGGCACCACTGGTGCCCACAGTCAGAGTGAGAGCTAATGAATGTCAAGCGATAAATGGAGCTTTGGCCTAAATCCAGCTCATGGTGGGCCAGGAAGGTGTGCAAACCCACTCTCTGGTAATGTCCCTAGTTCCTGGGTTTAAAGTTGT